CAGAGTAAACGCTCTTATGGAGAAAGCACTAGCTTCTTAGAAAGGCTGATGTTGCTTGACCAGCTGATATATAACTCAAGACTAATTGAATAGCAGACTTTCAGCAGGGTTAGAAAGCTCTAAAAAATAATAATATTTTTTAAAAAAAGAGCTTTGTATTGCAGTGAACTAAAGTTATTAGCCCCTAACTAAAACATGAAGTTTCATCTTTACCTTTCTACAGATCACAGAAATATCTATGTATTTTTCAGGCTGTGGAAAAATGGAGAGAAGCAATAAGAAAATGGAGAAGAAAACGGAGAGAAGGAATACCAAGCGAATAATTTATGGCAAGAATTAGGACAAAGAGGAGATGCCTGGCAGATTTGTAAACTACAATCTACTAGTTATATTTGAATGGGGCTGTTTGGTTGTTCTCCTGAAGCCATACGCAAGGCTGTATAAACATGGTAATGGCTTGAGACTAAGATAATATGCTGTAGAATCAGATGGAAACTTCATTCTTTCATTGCTATTATTTGCTCCTCCCTGTTCAGTCTTCTGGATTCATCCTCTGGTCTGTACTGTGGTTTCAATTGCATTTTCACTACCTATGACCAGCAGAAGTTGGCAGGAGTGGTGATGAATTACCTCTCCAGAGAGCTAAGAGCAGAGATACAGTATGGAGAATAAACCTTTCCAGATCAGGTTTTTACACTGTAATGAATTCTACTCTGACAACTGTGATTCTTCAACATAGTAATTATTAGTTATAATTATTAGTTATGAAGTTAGACAAATCTAAGTATCTTTTTCTTTTTTTTATTTATTTTTTCTCGTGTGTGTGTGTGTGTGTGTGTGTGTGTGTGTGAAACTAGTCTTTTGTATCTTCCTGTTATGTAATTATGACCTGCCATGTAATTTTGAATTACTGTGCACTGGGATTGATTTCAAAATCACCGAAGGGCACATTACACTTCTCTTGAGGTAATGTAGCACTAGGTAAAATTCATTTAAAAAACAAACAAACAAACACAAATTTCATTTCAAATGTCGTTATATGTTATTTAGAAATTGTAATGCTCTTTATGGAAATGGTTTAAATTTCTTCTGTGAATGGCCCTTAAGTAGCTAAGGCATGCTGAAGAATTTTGAGTTATCTTTTATTTATCTTTTGAGTACAAAGGAGTTATGAGAAAGTACTTCTACTCTGAATTCAAAAATCTCAGGCCTTTATTCTTTGAAATACTTTTTTGACCATTCCTTTCTGTAAGAAATGAAGCCAATACCTAAAGGAACTTAAAGGAACAGGAAATGGAACTGTACAAAATTAGTTGTTTCTGGTGTCCTAGGGAAGACATAGCAAGACTGTTTAAAGGGGGAGGGGGAAGGGAAGGAGAGAAAGCAAATCAGAGAATCATTAAGGTCGGAAAAGACCTTCAAGATCATCTGGCCCAACCATCTCCCTGCCACCAATATCACTCACTAAACCACGTTCCTTATCACCACGTCCAACCTTTCCTTAAACACTCCCAGGGACGGTGACACCACCACCTCCCTGGACAACCTATTCCAATGTCTGACCACTCCTTCCACTACTCCTTCTTCTATTTTCCAACCTCAACCTCCGCTGGTGCAGCTTGAGGCCATTCCCTCTACTCCTATTGCGAGTTACCTATGAGAAGAAGTCAACCCCCAGCTCCCTACAACTTCCTTTCAGGCGGTTGTAGAGAGCAATGAGGTCTCTCCTGAGCCTCCTCCAGACTAAGCAACCCCAGTTCCCTCAGTTGCTCCTCACAGGACTTGTGTTCCAGATCCTTCACCAGCTTTGTAGCCCTTCTCTGGACATGTTCCAGGACCTTGATGTCCTTCTTGCAGTGAGGGGCCCAAAACTGAACACAGAACCTGAGGTGCAGCCTCACCAGAGCAGAGTACGGGGGGCTGATCACCTCTCAGGTCCTACTGGTTAACTTATTCCTGATACAAGCCAGGATGCTGGTGGCTTTCTTGGCCACCTCATACAGCCTTGAGAGGCTCCTGTGGCCCTGCAGCGCTCTCTTAGGACCTTCTGCAAGACTGGCAGGGCCTTGCAGTGTCCTCTAGTACCCCCTGAAGGCCTTGCAGGCCTCCCCAGTGCTTTCTGCAGTCCCATTCAGTGCCCCATGCTGTGCCCCAGTGCCCCCTGCAGGCCTCCCAGCACTCCCAGTTTCCCAGTGCGGCCTGGAGGCCTGCCAGTGCACTCCGCTGCATCCTGGCTGCCCTCAGAGCCTCCTATTGCACCCTTGGGGGCTCCCCCAGCCCCTTGCTGTAGTCTACTGGAGGCCTCGAAGGGCTCTCTAGGGCACCCTGGAGGCCTCCCAAGGCACCGCAGATTGCTCTAACGGCAGCAAGAGGCCTTGCGAGGCTCTTTCCAGTGTCCTCTAAGATGCCCTGAAGGCCTTCCAATGCTCACTGCGTGCCTCCCATCAATCTCCAGTCCACCCTAGAGACCGTCTGTGTCTCGCAGGAGTACACAGTACACTCTAGTTCCCCCTAAAAGCCTCTCAGTGGCCCCTAGTGTCCTCTAGGGTGCCCTAGAGGCCCCCCCGTATAGCCTTCAGGCCTCTGATGGCCCCCAGTGCGCTCTAGTGTCTCCTGCAGGCCTCCCAGGAGACCTCCAAGTGCCCTCTATCACATCCAACTTCTTCCCAGCCCACAGCCAGTTTCCTTTAGGATACCCTTAGAGGCCACCCAGTTCTCCCCAGTGCACCCTACATTCTTTCAGGGCCTCCCAGTAGAGTCTGGCACACCCTGAAATCCTCCCAGTGGCCCTCGGTGTGCTCTAATGCCCCCTGGAGATCTCTCAGGGCTCTCTAGTGTGCTCTAGGGAACATGCAAGGCTACCCAGGGTCCCCCAGAGAGCTCCCGTACAAGCCAGAGGCCTCACAGGGCTCCCTGCTGTCCTCCATATGAAATAAATGCCTCCCAGTTCACACTGGAGGCCTCCAGTGGCCCTCTGCTCCACTCCAGATCCTCCAAAGGTCTACCAGGGCCACCCAGTGCACTCCAGCTCCCTCTGACTATCTTCCAGTGACCCCTAGTGCACTCTAGAATGCTCTAGAGGCTTTCCAGTGTACCCTTGAGGCCTCCTGTGGCCCTCTAGTGCTCTCTAGAACCTTCTGGAGGCCTAAAGAGCCTCCTTACCCTAATTATGGCTCTAACCCAACAACAGCCCCACTTAAGGCTCACACGAAATAGTGCTCACAACGGAAGCCTTTTGGTAGACCTCCACTTCCTTTGTCAGTCTTTACACAACCCCACTCACGACAGCACTCTGCACTTTCTCTCTTTCTGACCCTAACCCTTACCCTAATTATGACCCTAATAGAATCTGTTTCTGCTGGTTTCCATAAAAGGGGATTGCTTGCTTTTTCACAGCTATTCTCTCCAGGAACCTGTATATAAAAATATTTGTTCTATAACCACATTGAACAGTCTTGCATTGCCTGGCAGACATTTGTGTGCTGGAGGCTTTCTTCAGTTTCTGAAGTTTAACTCTATAGGAGCTTGTGTGGCTGCTGAGTCTAATCCTTCCTTCAGTCTTTTTTGTCCCCAGCCCAGGCCCTGTGGGACTTGGACTGTTGTCAGTGGCACATCCCACTTGAGTAAAGGTCAAAGATTAGCTTTCACATTGTACCACTAATGATAACTAGCAATGAGGATACTAAAGTGCTCTCTTGTAGTGTTTTACGTCTCCAAAGTGCTCTAGTGATACTAATTAATCTGCCAAGTAGCCTTATGACAAAGGTATTTTTCTGTGTGTAATTTAACTGTACTATATTGTTATGCAATAAAACAAAACAGGATGGTGTCTTCAGATTGGATTCAGGAAATCAATTAAGCAGCTATTCTTTGCTTATATCCTTGACACCCCAACAACTGAGTCAACTCCAAAGCTGTCCTATTTCTTTTGGTTAGTTTTGGCACAACTTGGGGAACCTCAAATATTCATGCAAAGCAGCACAATGCCAAGTGTTTAACAAAGTAGTTCCAGTGTTTTGCAGTAGCTCATTTCCATTGATGCACACCCATCTCTTAACACTGTCTGGCAGATGTGGTTCCAGTGCCACTGGAACCTAAGTTAAACCTGGGCACTCTGCTATGCTTAATTGAAGAGCTCCATTTTGTGTGCTAATGGTGCTTTGTTGTACTTAAAAGAATTGTGTGTGTACTGTTCACAACAGAAACCACGGTCACGCTGTGTGCTGGTGCTGTGCTGACCTGTGCAGTAAGAGTGCACAAGCTCTATTTTAACTGCAGGATTTCAGTGCCTTTCTGCACAGATAAATCATATGCTCCAAGTACTCCAGTGTCTGCTACCTCCTGTCTGCGTCTACTGCTAGCATGAACTTGAGTGACTGATCAGTAGAATGGTCAGTAGAATAAATATTCATCGAAGAAAGATAACCTTGATTATATAGCCATAATGCTGATCTCTGAAAGACCTATTTCCACTCAGGAAAGAGCTTGAGGTCACTGTGGACAGATTTGTGAAAATATAAGCTTAGTGCTCAGCAGCAGATCAGAAGGCAAATAGAAAGGCCAGATGAGAGAAAAGGCAGTGAACATTGTTATGTCACTGAATAAACCCAGGTTGCAACCACATTTTGAGCACTCTGTACAGTCTGCTTGACTGTCTCTGATTAGTCCTTCTTGAGACAAAAAGAACATTATAGAGCTAGAAGAGATTCAGAGAAGGATAATGTGGTGTGGAAGTGCATCTGAGTAAAGAGATTTTGAACAGTCTGAAACTGTTTAACCTGGAAAAGACACTAATGGAGGGAGCTTTAGTAAAGGCTATGAACAGTACGGAGAAGAACAAAAAGAAAAATAACATTGCATAGAAGTCAGGGTGTACCCATTGAAATGACTGAGGTAAAAGGAAGTGTTTTTTCACACGGTGGAAAAGTGAATTGTGGAACTAATTGACGCAGGATGTCTAGATGCCTAATCGCTTTTTGAACACATTTTTCTTTTGGCAGATTAATGGTAGAGAGGGCCAGCAAGGACTATTAAACACACAAGTCCAGGGTCAAACACTGGCTTAAGAAGCTTTCAACCACCGGTTGTCAAGAGACTAAAAGAGCGGAAGTATCACTGTGGGTGCTTGCTACACGCTTTCCCTAAGGATTTTCAGGTAGGTGAGCAGCGGCTCTGGTTCATTAAGACTAGATATGTTCTCCCAAACACATGCTAGCACACAATTTCTGTAGTGTTGTGGCAACATATACGCTACTGCAAGTAAAATATGACATGTGCTGCCAAAGAAATCACATTCTGAAAACAGTGCAGCACACTTAATATTGTTTAAAATGTTTTTCCTGTAACAGGGGAAGACCTGCCCATTTGCCTTTGTGCTTGTTATTCCTTCTCAGGAGTGGAGCCTTCCTCCCTGAAAACTTACCAGTGTATAAACAAGCAATTAGGAAAACCTAACCTTTCTTAGTCAGTTGCAGTCAGATACTTCATCTTCTCAAAATTGCATTATCAGCTTAAAGATTAAAACAAATGCCTTTATTGTTTTCACCAACAAGAAAATGCCTCTGTGCCACCAGAATCAAAGTCATTAGACAGTATTTTTAAAGAAGCAAAGCTCCGCTGATTCATACCCAAATTCAGTGGAAGTTATGTTAAAATACTGTCAGGCTGTTGCTTTGTTTTGCAGAAGGGAAAGTTGTTTTAGAGAGAGACATTACATATGGGCCGTATGCTGATTGAACAGTTCTTCACACTTCTTTTTGAATGTTAAACTGTTCTCACAGAACTAATTTAAAGTGTATAAAAAAAAGCTCCCTCTCTTTACCTGTTTTGCTATTCTTCCAGGAACTGCATCAAACTCCACTCACAGATATAGCTGAATGCGCCTCACATAAATGTAAGAGACATATTCTACCAGACACCCAACTTCCTAAAGCACAGTGTATTTTCCACATTCCAGCATACATTCCAGGGGCCATATAGCTGTGTGAGTTTGTCTCCAGGAAAGTTCAGCCTCCAAAACACAAGAGACAAATTCTGCTGGAGGAGTGGGTGGGAGAGGACAGGCAAGGAGGAGAAAGTTCAAGTGCTCCTGGGTGGGAGGTGGAACAGTACTGGAGGTAGATCAGTCTGTTTTGGTCAAAACAACTGTTATTACCACATCTGGTTCTTTAAATGCCTGTGGAAGTGTGTCTTGTGGGAGCTGCATGGCTCATGCTTAGATTAATGACTTGCTCCTCTGCTTGATTCCAATACAGGACTCTTCCCCCATCTCCCAAGTGGAAGAGGAGTTGCAGTCTTTAACAGTCTCCCTGCGTGATTCGTGAATTTTCCAGATGATTCTCCTGAGTGGTGAGGACACTGAAATGGGGGAAGCTGTGTAGAGGATTAACTCTATTTTACCAGAATCTGTCTCTAACTTGCAATGTGTAAAATGACAAATATGTCTTTTAGAATTCCTTCTGTAATCTGGTCATGTGCAGGACTTTGGTTATTGCATGTCCCTGAGGAGAGAAAGAGAATGTCTGCTTAAAATGTTGAATGCTTTGTTAGTGATTGCCAGCATACTTGCAAAGTTGAAGCTCATGTAAGGGGTGAGGTTGAGGAACACAGGCATGATATGAGGGACCGTCCTCGCTCTGGCAGCTACACTAGCTGCATCACAGATCCTATTTTTATGAGGTAACATGTGCCTAGGGAGTATGCTTCAAATCTGAATAATCCTGCTGTGGTCACATATAGCAAGTCTGTAACTCAGTAGCTCTGCCATGTACCAAAATATCTAATGTTAGGAAGTGCCATTTCAGAAATCTTGGTCTCATTTCTCAATGCTCTGTGCTAGAAAACAAACTCCATGGGTGTGTGTAGTCCTGCAGTGCCTCTACAATAGGAGGCTCTGGGGGCTGGGCTTGTGCTGGAAGATTTTCCATCTCTCTTTGTGCCTCCTGCTTCATTCCAAGGGAGTGAGACAGAAATGAGCCAGTGGAACTGTACAGCCGGGGGCAAGTAATGAGCAGATATAGAAGCTCTGTGATTCCATGGGGGTATCTGAAAAATCCAGGGCTAGTTTTAACTAGCATTTCTAGTGGCCAATTTGAACCAATTTTATTCCACCATGGTGCAGAGACATGGTGCATGGTACAATAGTAGGAAAATCCATGCTGTACATCTACTGATGGTGTTTTTCTATCACACCTCTAACTGCTGTATCATAGGAACACCCATGGTACTGCTGAAACCTTGAAACAGCAAGGCACGAGTCTCTATTTGTCATCCTCTGTTCATTAACACCATAGCTCTTTACCAGTTGGGTTTTGGAGAACCTCTCATCATTAAGGCTGCTTCTGTGCGAACAGATGGCTGCACTGTGTGACATCCCAAGTGTCTGTTGGGACCTAGCACAGATAAATGGGTTTGCTCAGCCTGTTGGCCTGCACATCTTGTATTTACCTGGTACTAGGAGAAAGAACAAACATAGGAAGCAGCCTGAAACCCTGCAGGCCAAGCCCTCCCATGGCCATAGGACCAGTGCCATTAACACTGGCCCATCTATGTTTAGGTTTGGGGGTGAATGTATCTACCCTTTGAGAACCACAGCCGAAAGCTCTGCTGCAGAGGCCCTTGCAGAGTTAACGCATAGCTCCACTGCTCCCTCAGCTCCACTGTTGTGATTAAATAACATCAGCTGTGCTAGGAGTGTGGCAGGGAGAGCAGGTGGATCCTGCCAAGCCAGCGAAAACCAGCATTTCCTCTGAGAAGAAACACAGCTGCAAGTGGTGTGGAGCTTCCTCCCACTGCAGGAGAGGTGATGGGGCAGCAGGTGGCTCAGGAGCTCTGCTGTCATGCCTCTGGTGACATTGCGTGTCAGGCTGCTACTGAGGCTGGGCAAGTGTGCTTGTCCCCAGTCCTGCGGGGGAGCTGAGGGGAGCACAGAGGCATGCAAAATCCTGAAGGAATGTACAAAATACCTGCTGGCTAAGAAAGCTGTGCACAGTAAAATCTTGCTGGACTGCCTGGCCTTTAGAGGCTGTTCTGTAAACAAGGTTGCTTGAGCCTATTTTTTGGAAGGAGCTAGAAACTCTGGTTTATCTGAAACTTGCTGCTGAGTAAACATTCTTGAAGACAGACCGATGGAAATGAAGTAGTTGCAACTCGGGTGCAGTGACCTTGGTGCTGGTTGTTCTGGTCTGTGGTTTTGGTTTGCCGTCTTGCAGTATGTTATCTGAGCCATCCAGGCTGTCAGGTCAATTAGCGGGTGCTGCTCTAAGTGCTGCTTTCCTGCCCTGAAAAGCCAGGCACCAGGGCTTGCCCCGTGGCTCTGGTAAGGCTCGAGGCAGCGTGTCATGTGTGGGGAGAGGTGCTGCTGCAGCAGGTCGCTGAGGGGGCCGCCGCCACACGCTCACCCCAGCTGTCGCAGGGAGGCGGTTACGTGAGGGCTGCCTCCTCATGGCTGAGCTCCATCGGTGAGCTTCGACAGAAGTGGGAACAAGCCTGCTGAGAGGCCTCGGTGCCACCATTATTTTTCCCTCTGGCATCTCTGGAAGAGCCTTGAGACGTGAAACCGCTATGGTGTCTGTTTTTCCCTTATATGTAACTCTCCTGATAAAGGCTGTATGTGACCTTTTCTTTCTTGTTGTTCTCTGTCAGAGGAAAAGAAGCCTGCCTGGCCTTGGGTTAATGCTTTTCCTTGCTCAAATCCTGTTTTTCTAAAGTTCTCACTGAAACACTCACATTGTTTTTAGGACAAAAATATAAAGCCCAAATATGCACTGGCGACATACAAACAAGGCGTTTCCTTGAAGCGATGAGAGGCTGCGTGGCACTGCCAGCGAGCCCTAGGCTGGTGCCAGGGCTTCATCGCTGGGCAGTGGCTGCTCTGCCGGGCACATTCCTCCCTCCCTTCAGGATAAGCACTGTGTGAGAGCCCTCTTAAAGCAGAACCTCTCGTATTTAGCTCCCCTCCTTCCTGTAATAACAAATGGGGGAGATTGTGTAACTTGCCGCTGGCTGCCAACGTCTCTCTCAGAGGTTTACAGAAAACTTGCTCATGGTTTATTGTCATTGCTGTGCCTGACTGGAAATGAAGTCAAATGCCAGCTTCAAAGCGAGCTGCTTGGTGTTACTCTGTTTGATACTTTTCCCCTGCATGCCTCTTCTCCTTGGGTTGCTGTCTCGAGATCACAGCACTGACGGTTGTTTCTCTTTTGAGGTTTCATGAACAACTGCACGGGCAGGAAAGGCTCTTTCCATACATGCGTGCCACACAGTGCTTTCTGTTGTGCGTGACACTGAGCATAAACCAGGCCTGGCTTTTGGTTGTGCCCTCAGTGCATGGCTTCACGGGAGCTGAGCTCTCCTCCCCAGATGATCAGGAGAGCACCTCCAGTGCTCAGGTCATGGTTGGTTGGCCACGAGTCTTTTTGGAGCTGTTTTGCGATACCTGTGTCCACCATGGAAGTGACAGTAAACGTAGGTTAATGTCCTCTTTCTACTAACACCTTTCTTAAAAGTCCAAGGCTTGGAGCAGAAAGAGTCAGAAACAGAACCCTCTGTTTTTAGTTTGTGTCACTTTAAGGCTCTGCTGTGGTTGGGGCCATCTGTGTTTGTCAGTTCCTTCTGTTAACCAAAAATCCCAAGCTGAGGAAAACGAAAACCTGCCTTGCAGTTGTAGTGAGATGGAATTGGCCATGGGCTGTGGCAGAGTCAGACAGAATTCCTGCCTGGATAAAAACTGACTATTTGAGTAACTTGCAGCAAGAATTTGACTGCGAAGCTGGCTCGCTTCATCGCGCTGCCTTCAGATGTTTGTACGCTGTGCTGAGTCAGCACCATGCTCTGGGGTTTGTGGTGTTCCTTGGCTGTGCCTCAGGGATGGCTGAGCACACATTTCTCACTAAAGCTCTTTGATCCTTTGTGTTTGGTTTATTCACAGTTCAAATCTCCCTGTTACCTTTCATTCTGCTTTTGTGACCAGCTGCTGCAGTAGTGTCTCTTCTTCCTTCCCATGGATTTTGGAGAGCTGATGTGGATTTCACCATGGCATAGCCATAACTCTGTTTTTCTGTCACTTTGCTGGAAAATCCCCAGCAGGTCTGATGTTAACATTTGAGTTTTGTTTTCCTTGTTCAGTGCACCAATGTACTTCCTGTTCCTGACAGCTATGGGGACTGTCCTCTGCCTTGTGTGCCCAGCTGAAAAGCAATGATTTTTTTGAGGGCCAAAAATCTCTTGCATTTTTCTTAAAGTGACTGGGTTCCAGGTTTGACTCAAGGAACAGAAAGACCAGCTTTCAGCTAGTCTCATTTCCTGAACTAGGTTACCCCAGTGTCAGGTAAGTGCACGGTTGGTGCATGGTGGGGATGGTTGTGCAGTGCTGAGCTATGTGGGTTTTGACACCTTCAGACAGTAGTCTGAACAAGGAAATTCTTCTTGTAGCTGATCCCCACACATCACATTTAGGAGTCTTTTAGGAAGATGTGACTCCACAAATCCCCCACCTGTATGTGTTTTTTTTTTGAACTGAGCATTCAGGCTGCCTGGTCTCCTTCCTGCTGGGTTTGCAGACTTTAATGAATTCTTGAATTCCTGCTAACAGATTTATTTAGCTAAAAAAAAAAAAAAAAAAGGAAGAAAAAAAAAAAGGAAATGCCCCATTAATGCACTGGAGATAGAATCAGGCTGGAAAACTTCAAGACGGACTGCTGTAATAGCACAGCCCATGATGTAAAACCCATGTGTTCAGCAGGCCAGATGCCAGGAGTCCCAGGCTCTAATCCCAGTGCTGAGGCTCCCAAGCTTGGGTAATAAAATTAAAGGAGAAGAGAAAGAAAAAGAGGCCTTGTTTAAATTTCCTCATGTTTTCCTCAGCATGCTCCTTTTACCACATGCATTATGAATTTAATAATTGCTAGGTTTCTTAGGTCTTCTGCGTGAAGTGTTTTCCCAAATCTGCAGCAGCCCCAGCCTTTCTGGGTCTCCCTGCTCTCAATTCAGTACAGTGAGGGCTTGCAGCAGCTGTGTGATACCCAAAAGCTCTGTCTGCATGGCTGCGTAGTTGAGAATAGCACTGACCGACAGCCTAGCAGTAATGGAAAACTTTGTGGGAAAGAATTTTAAGGTACAGGAAGCCAGCATGTCTGTCAGAAGCCTATGGAAGTGCAGACACTAATGTGCACCTCAGGTCCAAAACACGACATTCAGACTGATACTCAAAATAGCATCATGTGTCATGCTTGTCACCCTTATTCTCAAGGGTGTCACAGCTCTTCTACCTTTGATCATTCTGCATACCTTCCTTCTGTAAGGAATGGGGAAGTAAGTTGGTGGAAGGTCTGTGCATTTTGGGAAATTACATGAACTATACCATGCACACAAAAAAAGTATCTGGGTTTCATATTTTTTATTTTTTTTTGCCACTGTGATTACAGAAAGATCTTGCCCTACAAGAAGGCATTTGTAAGAAATGTGACTGTCCTTCATTAGTGGGTAAAAACAGTTCATAGGTCTTTTGGGGCCCGATAGTAGTAAGACCTTTGGACATACAAGATAAAGAAAAACTGATTTCTGAAAGCACTAAGGAGTAGATTCAGAACTGGAATATATTTCTGGAGCCAATTAGTAGGAAGAAACTTGAGAGTTTTGCCTAAGGAATACAGAATTGGAACTTAAGTTATGGATGCTGATTCAACAACTGTGCTATTTTTGGCACCTGAACTGTTCTGATGGCTGTTTATTTTTAAGGTCAGTTTCTGTTTGCATAGCATATACACCCTTCTGGTGGGTGGGAGGCATTATAAAAACAATCACCGCTGCTCAGAATTATGAACTAAACTTGAAGAGGGATGGAAAAAACAGAACTCAGTGTACTTATTACTTTAAAAAACATCTGTTCAGGTCATAAGGTTTGTTGATCTGCTGTAAGCTGTGCCCCCACCAGAAGAATACTATTGCAATTAATATAGACTACTGCAGGGGATTGCAAAACACTTGGAAAGACTTGGATGATGATAAAATGGTGTAAGAAGAAAGATGGAATCAGATTTGGCAATTTTTTTGAACGTATTCACCTTCAGGTAGTACATAAAAAAACAGAACATTCATCCCATGGTTAAAGAGTTGCTAAGAGCTGGATTTTGTGCTGGCTAGCCATGCTTGAACCAGCACATTTATCCCATCCCTTGTTTAAGACTCCTGTTAAATAACAACACATTTCAGTGACATATTTTTCTGGCTTCTTTATGTTGGCCATATCTTTATTCACACAGTCAAGTAATACAAATTCATTTGACAGTGGCAGTTTACAAAAGAAGGTACAAATGATTATTTTGAGCTTAATTTTTTTTTTTTTTTAATAAAATAACTCTGGCCAGCTGATATGCAATGCAGTGTTTGGACCAGATACTGGTATGGAAATGATTTATAACATCGGCAGTGTACCCTCGGATATGTTCCTTTCCCAGAATTTAAGATACACAATACAAAAATATACTAAAATAATAACTGAGTTTGTAGAAATGTCTGCTGCAATATAATTGCTGTTGTCTAAGTCTCAGTATACATACTCCCATGCTACATTATGATAAAATATTTGAATAAACACAGTTCATTTCTAACAATTTGAATGTTTTAAGTTCATCTCAAAATAACTTGCTTGGGTTCTAATCCTGAAAACACATTAAGGACCTTAACTTTGAACTTGTGAGACTGATACAGCGAAATGAGCATCAAAATGAATGTTCAGTTTCTTGGTTCAGGAAGGGAGTAGAGGTTGAAATACTGAACCTCATAGGATCTTTACTTGGGATATTTTCCTGGATTTTTGAAGACTTTTAACAAGTCCTCACTGGGCTACCCCTTTATGTGGTAGGCTTGAGGTCATCAGGTTCTGGTAATCTGGTGAAACTGCCGGGAGGTGAGGTTTGGGATTCTGCACTTGATTCAAATGCAGTAAGCTTCCTCCTCCTTCCCTTCTTTCTATAAATGTACCTGTCCCTCTTCCCCTCCCCTCCTCCTTCCCTTCTTGCCCGGTATCACCAAAATTATACATATATTTTTTAATATGAAAGTGCCAAATGCTCCAGCACTTTGCTAAGGCTGCTCACGTTGAGCATCATATGACCCCTCTGCCTTCACAGCACAATTTCCTTAGTGTTTCCAAAGTTCAGAAACCTTGGTGTAGAAATCAAAGTCTGTGCCTATCTTACCACACGCTGATAAGCAGCTATCCAGTCAGGTTTGCACACCTGCAGTGAGAATACCTGAAGTAGATCTAATGCTTATGAAAAATGCCAGCCTTGGAAGTTCTCTGTTCTCCTTAAGAAAATGCATCATGGGAAGCAAAAGCACCAGTTTTCTGCATTGCCCTATTTGGAGCTTCCCTTGCCTCTGAAAGAGAAATTCACCGCTAGCAGGCAAGCATGTTTAAGTCAAGGATTTGCTCCTTTTTCTCCTGAGGGTAATCTCAAAGCATTTGAGAAAAAAAAAATAAAAAATTAGTATTGTTCTATTTTTGCAGACAGGAATACTAAGGCACAGAAGGGTGAACTTGTTTGGATCAAGACTGATCTGCAGGTCTCTAGTCCAGGCTCTTCACTAGGCTGTCACTCTCTGCATGCGAGACATTCTCAGAATGACAAGGGGTAACACCCTGACCCTTTGTTCCCTCGCAGGCAGCACAAACAGGAACCAACATCCACCTTCCCAGATACGGCCTCCAGAGAAAATGATAAGGAGGACATGCATTGAAGGCCAGAAGTTGGCTTCCCAGTGTTTAAATTCCACTGACTCCCAAGGAGGTCAGCTATGGAAAGATGACCAAGATACTTCTGAGGTATAAAACTCCGTGTCTGCTGGCCACTGGTCAGCTTTGTCATCGTCGGATTTGTCACTGTCGTCACCGCTGGAGGGTTCGCAGCCTGGGATGGCAGAACAGTACCGCTCCAGCTGCTGGCAATCAGCCTCTGCTTCCTTCTTCTGCTCTGCCAGCAGCTGCCTGTAGCACAGGTTGCAGACCCTCAGGGGCTTGGGGGACAGCCGGGGCATCAAAAACCTCTGCCTGGAACAGTCCCCACACACGACAAAGCCACACTTGCGGCAGTGGTGCCTTCGAGTGAGGGTGGAGAACTTGGTCTGCGTGCAGCGCATGCAGATGTCTGTCGCCTTGTCTGGGATCCAAGGGGCCGCGTGCTCCGTGGAGGGCTGCCTGCCTGTCTTTGTCAGCAGGTGCCTGATGCACTCCTCCAGATGGCTGAGCCACTCCTTCCGCTCTGTCAGGGAGGCCGCAGAAACCACGAAGGACTTCTTTGAGGTTTTAATCATCCAGCGGTTCTTCATCTGCAAGGTGTCTGGCAGCGTCTCCAAAGTGACATCTTCAAGGGGGATGATGTGCTGGGAATTGTACTTCCTTTTGTTAATCACTATGCTCCCGTACACCAGGATGTCGTTGAAAAGGAAGAATATGCGAGGCTTTGGTTTCTTGCGGCATTCTTTGGTTAAAATCCCTTCTCCTAAGAGGACTCTTCCTGGCACAGCTAAGGGCTGGCCAGAAGCCCCAAAGCAGTTTTCCACAGCAGCGATGCGCTGGCTGTTGATCTCAGTGTTTGCGAGGTGGTCCACCATCTCCGGCTCACTCTGAGGAGAGGAAAATAAAGAAGGAAGTGATGAAGTGCACTGAGCAAACTGTGCCAGGATGAGGCCAAGCATCAAACGTATGCACAGGTGAGGAGCTTCTAATGCAGACTGGGGTTAGGAGCCATCTCCTTGCCACTCTTCATGTGAGATTATTGCCTTTTAAGTTTTCAAAGCTTCTGTCCCCACTTTACAACAGCTTGGTCTCTGCTGGGCTGGCTCTGTTTACAGCAATGGAAGCCCTCTAATACGGTCACCTCTTCCATTACAACTCTGCTTTTCACCAGTATAACTGCATTCCCACATAAAAGGAGGCAGGCTGGTCTAAGTACTGCATACGTGGGTGCATTACTTGCTGTGGAGTTGCTGTACTGTGAAGCTAGAGGGTGCCAGGAGCACCCACCGCCCGTCCTGGCCGGTGAGTGTGGCTGCAGCGCTGCACAGGCACCCTGCTGGCACCCGTGGTCTTCAGAGCAAGCGTCCCATCTCTGACAGCACGCTCACCGAGGGTCAGTTACACACACACACAGTTACACACACAAATGAATGCCATTTTAGGCCAGAGCTCAGGCAGGCTTTTGGAACAAAACAGAGTGCTCTATTGTTTGTTCCCACTGATCCTCCGTGCGTGACAAAAAGGAGAAAAAAGGTAGGGGGTAAAAAAACCCAACATCATCTGAATGAATAAGCCCACACAAGCCAACCCGTTCCGCCACTGCCCCAGCTGTTTCAGCTGCCTATTGCATGTTCCTCCAGCTCCAAGACACCATTCTGAAAAGTCTGATCTCTGCTGAAAGGGAAGTAGCATGCCGCACACTCACCCTTCCCTACACCTCTGCACCCTTCTTCTCATACAACCCGGGTTTTTTTTTCTTGCTTTTAAACATAGATTAAAGTAACTCCAAAGCAAAAGCAAATGTTTTGCTATTCAGTTTGTAGTGAAGAACTGCTTTACATTGCAAGTGCTATTTTTCAGTGCACCTAATTCCCTCTGTGTTTCATTGTGATGCATCGAGGCTATTCAGGCCTAACAATCCACAAGAAAGTGAGTCATTTCCTCTTAAAGCGAGGTATTTCAGAGATCACGAGGTAGCACAGCGATCACAGGGATGTGTGTAGCCCTAGTTTCTATTAGCATTTTGTAGAATAACTAATACATAGAACCAGCCTCCACATTTTTTCCCATCCTTCTTACACAGAGTCCCTGCAGCCATGGAGCACTGCAACCTGGAGGGGCAAGGGAAGAGAAAGAGGGCAATATGCTGAGCTGGGTATTTTGAGGATGATCATGATTTACATTCTTGTCTTGCCCTTCACCCCTTCAGAAGGCTGGAAGGGAAACCACATAGTGGCTGTAAAAGGTTGCTGCATGCTGTTTACGTCTTACCTAAGCTATTTAACAAACAGGTCATTCAATTCTTCTGAGTCCCCAGATTTTTTTTTCTCTAGAGCAGGCCAGGATGTTTAGAATTTCCCTACAGCCTGCACAAAATAGATACTGGTTTAGTCCCGTGGGGAACCTGAATGAAATTACCATCTCTGCAAAAATAGCTTTAAGCAAGAAGTGTTGTGTGGCCAGCACTTCTGAAACTCTGGCTTCTGTGAGGGCAAGTACTGGGATTTCTAGTTAATCCATGAAGACAGCACCTTCTGCAGCACAGGGCTTGTCTGAGACTGCAAGAATGCCAGCATGGCTTCTGCCAGCCCTGTCTGTTCCACAGAAATCTTTCCAAGACTCACTCAAGAGCTGCTGGGATCAGCTTGGATACCAACCCAGTAAAGGCGAACAGAAGCTGACAAGTTACTAAAAGAGGACAATCCCAAGGTGAATTGTTCCCTTGAACTACAGGGAGGATCGTGAGGCTTCCAACTTCCCCCTGTAAGGATGTGAATTTTCAGGGTCTTCAAGTACCAGAGCAGATCTGACAGATTTGGACAGAGCAGATTTGATGGATTTGTTTTATGTTAAACATCAACTCGTGTATGTTCTCCAGCGTGAAATGCAATTTAAAATTAACTACAATACGACTACTTACAACAAAAGCATCAGCGAGACGGTAGCAGTATAACAAAATACCTTCAGAGGAAGTCAAAGAAGTGAGCAACTCTGAAGAAGTAGGAAAACTTCTGAATTTTTGTTTGGCTTTTTCAAGAAAAAGCAAGGAGAAAATAGCAGGCTCCAGCTGGCTGATTGCAAAAATGATCCCATGCCCCATTCTCCTGAGATCAGTACTGTGCCAGCAATTTGTAGTCACGAGGTGGTCGCCATGAGCTGACGGCATGCTGAGCTACTGGGGGCGTGCTACTGCCAGATGTGCAAGAATGCACAGGTATGGTACAATCAGCAGCAGCCCAAGTAATGCCCCAAAACCCCACTGTTTAGTACTTAGTACTTGCTATCAGGAGAGAAGAGAGACTCCGTTCCCTTCCTTACAAAATGCTGTAAAGAATTTTTGGCACCAGCAACACCAACTGGGATAAATCAAGCAGTTTATCCTGCTCTCGCTGATCTTGATTCCTAATGCTTGCAGATCACAGAGACCAACTCTTCTCCTGTGTCTTTTATTCTATGCATTTTACAAGCGCAGTCCAAGCTCTCAAGTAAGTATGGTACTTGAGACAGCTCTATTTCCAGGGTTTTCCATGCACCAGATCCCAGGGGAAATGAAAACATTTTGCCAGATGTAAAGACTGTGCCTGAAGAGCCAAGACACACAAGCTAGATCGTTTTCAAACAGGAGTGCAAGCCCTATTGAGGTGAGAGCTTTATCTATTGGATTTCTTTGGCCTATAAGCAGGATAGAATGCTTTTGGACTTCTCGTATCATAGAATGGCTTCGGTTGGAAGAGACCTCATAGATTATCTAGTTCCAACCCCCCTGCCATAGGCAGGGACTTGCTGCATGGGGCAGAAGGACAACAGGATAGACAGGTGATGGACACAATCCTGAAACGCAAAACAAAGAAAAGCAAGTTTCCATTACGTGTCACACTCCCACTTGGAGGAATCTCCATCCCTCTGAGTCATTACATACTTAAAATCCATGAGTTAACTAAAAAAAGATAATTCCATCCTAGGTAGGATTCACATTGCTTACCTCCAGGCTCAGACAAATAACTCCATGCATCTTTGCACTCCCTTTTCAGTCAGCGGGGAGAAACAGCCATCTGTAAGGGCACATCACCTCTTCCCACCATTTGGGAGATTAATCCTGCCCTGAGTTTCTAGATACTGCTTGCTTTGACTAATCACCCACAAACTGATTTTGTTACTACTGTGACTCACTGCAAATAATGCTCAGCTTTGCCTTGGAATGGGAGTACTGCCTATGACAGTTTCTGAGTCTGACTATTACTGCAGTTTCCTTCACTGTGAAGTGAGCGTCTCTGCCTTTAGGAACAACAGTGATGTGATATAAAAATCAAGATATAACTTCTAATCTATTTGATTAATTTTGGTAAATATATTTTTCCCTCTTTCTTCAAGTTTGTTCTGCGACATCAGCAGGATCATGGTGCTTATTTACCAAGTGATACACGCATATAAGCATCTCGTAGCAGAAACGTTCACAATTTAAATGAGAGAGGGAAGATGCACTTTTACTGGTGTTCTACTTTACATGGGAGTTTTTGGCATGGTAAAGTTTGATTTTCTTTTTTTCTTTTTGGTCAAGTTCCTTTTTTTTTCACATGATCAAATACTATGCAGTGAATATATTAACCCAATTTATACAATTGGCATTCAAAGGAAAAAATACTATTTTGTCTTCACTCAACTCCACATCTTTCAACAAAGAGTGCTTGTTAACTTGTGATTATAAATAGCCATGTTGATGCATGCCAGGCAGAGCATTTTGTCCTAAGCTCCTGGATCAGTGAGTCTGGAGTAGGTTTCTCAAGGCTGTTTGTATCTAAGGCGTAGACCTAGCAAAGCTGTGAGCTGTTCTACCTGGTTCTTCAGTTCCCTCTGTCAACCCTAACTGACAGTCTTGTATTCCCTGCATACATAACGCATACCAAATGCAAGGGTTGGCCCGCGGAGATGAGCACGTTGAGAGCAGATCTGCTGGCAGACTTCAGCAGGCAAATGCTCGGAGCCTCCTCTCTCTCCAGACCTCGCTCCCTCCTGGTTCAACCAGCTGTGAAGTCTCTTCTGGAGTCAGAGCTGCCAGGAGCTCCTCCTCACAAAGCACACTCAGCAGGAGGTGGTCACCTTTTATCCAGGCATTCGGTGCCCGGGGCAGGCATTTAGAGCAATAAAAATCCTTCCACTCCTCTCCCTGCCTGATTAGAGCTTGCCTCTCCCTCCCTCCCACGCGTGCTGATAGCTGCTGAGCCACCGGGGTACGGGAGGGCGCTGGCAGTGCCCTCCCAGTGCTGGTGGCAACCCCGCTTTAGGGCTTGGACATTTTGGGAATGGCTGTCACGTCAGGCCTTTGGCTGAGAAATGACACCTGTCCCAGTGGGGTATGGACTAACCATGCTGAGCTTCTTGTGTTGCTGCTTGGTGCGTTCAGGACCTCTGGGATGTGGGGCCAGAGTGGGGCAGCAGCCAAGCAGGGGCTTTAGAGGAGCTCAGGCTGATGCTGTCCCGGCCAGCAGTCGGTCGCTCAGGTTCAGCTGTAGCTCTTGCACGTACCGCCCAGCTCTGGGGGCACCCGAACAGCTTCGTGAGGAGGGAAGGAAAACCCCAAACTCCCAGAACGGCCTCCTTTGCCTTCCTGTCCCCCACTCTGCCCATGCACCCGCTCAAGCAGCGCAGCCGGGCAGCCCCCTGCACACCTCTCACTGGCCTTGCTGGCTCAGCAGCATGAGCCCGGCGACCCGCGGCTGTCCTGTGCCCTAAGAAGCCCTCGGGCCCTCCAGCAAGGAGGCTGCGGCTCCGACCTAAAGGCACGTGCTCGGGCAGCCCGGTGCCAACGCGAAACAGGTACGGGACGGCAGGACCCGGGGGGGAGCATCTCCCCCTCTCGTGCCCCGTGCGGGCACACGGGCAGCGCTCCCCGCCCGGCCGAGCCGCGCCCGGGGCTTCCCGAGCTGCTTTTCTGCCCCGCTTCCAGCGCCGAGCCCGCTCCCAGCCCCGGGGCTTCCCGAGCGGCGGGGCCGCCCCGCTGCGGAACGGCGCCCGCCAGCTCCCCGGCACCGCTGCGGGCTAACGGGGCGCGCTCCCTACGCAAACCCCGGCGGCTTGCCCGGAACGCGGACACCGCGCCGCCCGCACAACCGCCCCCCGGTCCCGTTCCCGTTCCCGTTCCCGTTCCCCGGCCGGTACCTCCGAGTGGGCAGCTCCGAGCAGCTCCCTCCGCGCCGGGCGCCCCTTCGAGAGCCCGCCCCGCGCCCGCCCCGCGCCCGCCCCGCGCCCGCCCCGCGCCCGCCCCGCCCGCCCGCGCCCGCCGTCCAATAGGCGGCGCTCGGACTCGGCGCGCCGCCGGGAGGCCACGCCCCCTGCTTGGGCGGTGGCCAATCGGGGGCCGGGGCGGGGCGCGCCGCCGCCAGGGGGCGCCCCGGGGCGGTGTCCCCGCGGTGCCGGAGGTTGGCGCGGGGCGGCGGGGGGGAGGCGGCGGAGCCTTCGCAGCTCCCGGCTCTGTCGACGAGAGCTGAGCCGCCCGCGCCCATGCATAATTCAGGCGCTCGCTCGCCCTAATGGCTTTTCTATTTTTAATGGGAACCGATGGACCTGTCAAGGCTTTAGAAATGTTTTTCTTCCCGGGTTTTCGTTTTCTTAGGTAATGCTAATGTGTGCTGGGAGCTTATGGTGCCCTTTGGAGCTGGAGTGCTCGGGCAGCTGCATGGAGCTTCCCCGCGACGCCACAGGAAGCAGATGCTAGGGTCAGGCCATCCACACCTTCCTGAGCATCTGGGAGGACAGACCCTGCAACGGAGGCTGTTGGGCTGAGCGAGGGTTTTCAGGTTGTTTCTCAAGCTCAGCTGTGGGGTCTTCCCTGTCCTTGTGGGAAGCATGCCCAAGCAGCCTGTCGGTGCTGAGAGGTGCAGAGCAGGTGCCCGTGCTGGGCACTTGTGAGCCTGAGTGCTGCTCCATGCTCAGCCCTGGCACCAACTGGCCCAGCTGCCCCAAGAGCTGACTGTGGCAGACTGGGGAGCATCTATCCAGCTCAAGAAGTTACTCCTTGATAAAACGATTTTTTTAAATTGTAAAATTGTAAGGACACAAAACCCTGAACTGAGTATGCCAGAGTCAGAGCCTGTCTTATCCACCACAGTAATTTATATCTAACCAGCCATGGACTTTTAAAACTTTTTTTTTTTCTTCCCCCATATATGCTAAAATTACTCTGAATTCACTGTTGGGTTGTCGTAATCAGAGTCTTCATCACTTGTTTCTCAGTACACTCACCTGTGCAGCAATCACTGCATGGTAAGGTGTCAGCCAAAGGCAGCATGCGGTGAGGCAAACAATCTGGGGTTTGAAGGTTGTGTTTACTTTCTGCCACTTCAGTTGGAGTGAAGGAGCGTTTAGGCAGCTGCTGCATAAAGCTAGGGAAGCTTCCAAGTACACACTGTGCATGCCTTCAGTGTTAATCAGTTGCATTGGGGAGATGACTTTTTTTTTGTTGTTGTTTTTTTTTTTTTGGAAGCTATTACAACCCAGTTTGAATGCCTTGAGTTGAGATATAAACTCAGAAGGTAACCAGTAATCTTAATGACCATTTGATAGTGAGGCTCAGGAGCTCTTTTTTTCCTGGCGGTTAAAGTGAAACATTTGTGACACCACTTGAAAAAGCTGCCGCCTGAATTACCAGCTTTTAAAGTCTCCTTACCTTGCTCTGGTTGCATTATCTGATCTATTGCCTCTGGCATTTTCTCTAAAACCACTTGTTTCTCAGTAGCAGAAATACCTTGCCCAACTGGGATGCAATAATTTCAAAACAAGTAAAGGAAACTGCAGCTGCTCAGCTGAGTCAGCCAAAGGTAAGCTCTGCAGGGGTGAAAATGGATTTTTATTATCTTCTAGTGGCAAAGTTACTACAACAGCCTGCAGGAAAAACTTAGATTATAATACTAACAAAAACATCTGTTAAATTCTCAGCTCAGTGTATGTTTAGTGCATGTTAAAAAAAAAAAAAAGCAGATGCTTTATAAAATTATTCTGAATAAAACACAGTGTTGAGATTCAGTTTGGGATGTTAGGAACTCACTGTGATCTTAGGATAGGTGGAGGTTTTAATTAGTTGACTACACATGTCATTTCGTCATCAGATAAGACAGTTTGTAGCTATGGAGATACAGTGTGGTATCAAGATTTTAGTGAATTGAGCATGGAATATACTCCTATTAGTTAACAAGTGAATAAGTTAGTGTGTGTTCATTATACACGTTAGCTGTAAGAATGAATAACCTCTGTCCTGTGCTCTGTGAGAGTGTGGTATGCATCTGTCTCCCAGTGGATTCAGCTAATCAGGGTATTTTAGAAATTTTTGAATTGCTGTGGTTGATTTGTGTCACAGAAGCACTACCAGCATCGTCTGTGTGCTTTAGAAATGAGGTCCTTCCAAGTCTGACAGTGCAAAAATGACAGAGCCATACTTGGCTCTGTCAATATAGATCTAACCTGAAAAATGTTGGTTTCCAAAATATTACTAGTTTGAATGCATTGAAAGCACTGCCAGACAAACGTGTTTCAGAGGGTCCTTTTGGCTCCTCTCTGCCCAGGCGCAGGAAGTTGCCTACTTTTTGAGTTTTTCCTAGGAGCCTGGCTGCAAAATGATTGCCAGTGATTAAAGTATTCCCCAAAGCAGCCTTGAGACTTGCTTGTTCCTTTTCCTTTTGTGTTAGGAAGTAATATATGATAGACGTGCTTTTGTTTTTACAACAGCATTGCTGTACTGTGCACACATGCAGCACTTCATTCCAAGGATCCTGAAGTGTAGCATAAATTCTAATAACCATGTGAGGGCTTGTGTCCTCCTTACAGAGAGTAAAACTGAAACTGTGTGAGTTATATATGGTCATATGCAGCTTGATCACTGAAATAGGAGCAGTGGTTTATTTACCATTGTTTTCAGCAGCAACTGGCTATGGCTTAAAGTGAATCACAGGGAGGCTGAGGAACAGCCCCAGAAGCTCCTGACTCACAGCCTCATGTGCCTTGCCACAGGGTCACAGCCCAGCTCAGACATCTCAGTGATCATTGCAAAAGCTGTCATGTACAAGGAATTAAAAAACAAACAAACAAACTCTCTGCACTTGCCAGTTTGCATCGTAACGAGCCTTTGCATTTGCTGTGCCTTGTCCTTCCCTGCTCGGATCAGCAGCCCTGTTTTTCTGATCATGTATTTGTCACCACAGTCGCTAGTGGGTTCTGCGGGGCTCCGTTTCAGAGCCAGTTCTCTTTAATGTTTACATAAATGACCTGGATGCAGGACTCAAATGTGTGCTGAGTATGTTTGCAGGCAACACTAAATGAGGAGCTGTTGACTCCCTCAAGGGCAGAGAGGCCTTGCAGAGAAATCTTGATGAATTAGAGGGCTGGGCAATCACCAACCGTATAATATTAACAGGAGCGAGTGCCAGATTCTGCACCTGGGACGGGGCAGCCCTGGATGTTTGTACAGATGGGGCATGAGAGACTTGAGAGCAGCCCTGCAGAGATGCATCTGGGGGCTATGGTTGACGGCAAGTTGAATATGAATCAACAGTGTGCTCTGGCAGCCAGGAGGGCCAACAGTGTCCTGGGGTGCATCAGGCACAGCATTGCCAGCCAGTAGAGGGCAGGGACTGTCCTGCTCTGCTCTGCGCCAGTATGGCCTCACCTCAAGTGCTTTGTGTGGGTTTGGGTGTCAAAATACATGAAGGACATAAAACGATTACTGAGTGTCCATAGGAGGGCTGCAAAGGTGGTGAAAGGACCGTAGGGTAAGGCATACGAGGAGCTGCTTGGTTTGTTCGGCCCAGAGCAGAGCAGGCCGAGGGGAGGCCTCATGGCGGCCTGCAGCTCCCTCACAGGGAGCAGAGGGGCAGGCGCTGAGCTCTGCTCTCTGGGGGGACAGCGACAGGACCCGAGGGAATGGCATGGAGCTGGGACGGGGAGGGTCAGGCTGTGGGTTAGGGAAAGATTCTGCACCCAGAGGGTGGTCAGGCACTGGGACAGGCTGCCCAGGGCAGTGGGCACAGCCCCAAGCCTGACAGGGTTAAGGAATGTTTGGGCAGTGCTCTCAGATGCAGGAGCAGATTTTTGGGTGGCCTTGTCCTGTGTGGAGCTGGGCACTGGACTCAATGATCCTTGTGGGTCCCTTCCAGCTTGGGTTATTCTGAGCCTATTCTATATGCAGTGCTGTACACAGCCTTTAGGTAGAGCTGTGATTTGACTGCTGAACAACCAAAAATGACGAAGGACGTAAATGGCATAGGTTAAATTTAAAAGCTGTGTATAAATACATAATAGCTAATTGCTCTTGGGGTCTAGGGGAAAAAAAAAAAAAAAAAAAAAAAAGGGTGTGTGTTCTCACCAGTAAACAAAACAAAACAAAAAAGATGTTTGTGGTTGTCACCCTTATGAGGTTTTCAAACCTGTTTCATCTTTAATCTGTACACCAGTGTGTGTGTGCGTTAAGCTTTGACAGTTGTCTGTGCATCTCAGGGCTGTGGAGGCATAAAGTATTTTCCTTGTTCCTTCTTAATTTTCACTGATAAAAAGCAGTGGTGAAACATATAGTTGGAGAGAGGAATGCTAAGGATTTCCCTGCTAAGTCAATTTCAGTGTTAATAGTTGGTTCTCTTCACGGTAGACTGTAATTATAATCACAGAAGTAGTTAAAAGATCTGATCCAAAGCTTGGTAAGAGTTTTAATTTCAGTGGATCAGCATGTAACATGTAGTTCCATTGAAAGCCCCCATCTTGACTGTAAAAGTGATCAAATACCCTCAGTATTTTATGTTCCTTATATGATATCATCAGTGCGTGCCATTCTGCCTGGTATGGTATGCTAGACACGTGAGACATGCTAACACTTGAAATGTAAAACCATGAGCAGAACAATTGCGCTGCCTTGCTCTTGCAGGGTCACGTGGAGAGTGGGCAGGAGTGTGGCAGATGTCAGGAGGGCTTGCTGGACTTCTGGTGCTGGGAATACGAGGCGATGACTAAGAAGCTGCTGTGCCCAGGACCGTGAATGTGCCTTGCCTTGCAGTGCAGACCCCTCACCGATGTCCCACGCTGGCACCCTTCTCCCTGCTGTGCAGAGCACTCAGCACCACATGCCCCATGTCAGCTCTGCAGCTTCTCCCATGTGTGCTGTTG